GGCGAGGTGTCAGAGTGGGCACCTGTGACCAGCGAGGTCCCACAGGGGTCAGTCCTAGGACCAGTGCTGTTTCTGGTATTTGTGAACGACATAACGGAAGGAATAGACTCCGAGGTGTCCCTGTTTGCAGATGACGTGAAGTTGATGAGAAGAATTCATTCGATCGAAGACCAGGCAGAACTACAAAGGATCTGGACAGGCTGCAGACCTGGTCCAGCAATTGGCTCCTGGAGTTCAATCCCACCAAGTGCAAAGTCATGAAGATTGGGAAAGGGCAAAGAAGACCGCAGACGGAGTACAGTCTAGGGGGCCAGAGACTACAAACCTCACTCAAGGAAAAAGATCTTGGGGCGAGTATAACACCAGGCACATCTCCTGAAGCGCACATCAACCAAATAACTGCTGCAGCATATGGGCGCCTGGCAAACCTCAGAACAGCATTCCGACATCTTAATAAGGAATCGTTCAGGACCCTGTACACCGTGTACGTTAGGCCCATATTGGAGTATGCGGCACCAGTTTGGAACCCACACCTAGCCAAGCACGTAAAGAAACTTAGAGAAAGTGCAAAGGTTTGCAACGAGACTTGTCCCAGAGGTAAGAGGTATGTCCTACGAGGAGAGGTTAAGGGCAATCAACCTGACGACACTGGAGGACAGGAGAGATAGGGGGACATGATAACGACTTACAAAATACTGAGAGGAATTGACAAAGTGGACAAAGACAGGATGTTCCAGAGATTGGACACAGCAACAAGGGGACACTGTTGGAAGTTGAAGACACAGATGAATCACAGGGATGTTAGGAAGTATTTCTTCAGCCACAGAGTAGTCAGGAAGTGGAATAGTTTGGGAAGAAATGTAGTGGAGGCAGGATCCATACATAGCTTTAAGCAGAGGTACGATAAAGCTCATGGTTCAGGGAGAGTGACCTAGTGGCGACCAGTGAAGAGGCGGGGCCAGGAGCTTGGACTCGACCCCTGCAACCTCAACTAGGCGAGTACACACACACACACACACACACACACACACACACACACGCGCGCGCGCGCGCGTGATATGTACCGCACAAGGCAGAAAATGTAGCACATTAATGATTATATTTTCTCGGTCCATTTTTTAATCTAATTGGTCACGTAGTAATACTGAATTACACAGTTAATGATGAATATTATTTGATTATTATTAGTAGTAGTATAATATTATACACTAAGTATCAGTAGAAATAAAATAGTTTGGACAAAATATTATGAGAGATCATACATACGACTATTAAGCAAGGCAACTATTATCTCATGGTTAGGAAGTGATATGGCGACATGAAATGCAGGGCTGGAGGTTGTGACTCGTTATACTATGCATATGATCCTTCAATGAGCGATGTAAGCTCATCACCTTCAACGACTCAGCGCTGCGCGCGTTGTGGCAATATGTAGCCGCAAAATGCAGAGAAAGGTAGCCACAAAGGATTATACTTTCTGACCATTTTTTAAATTAATTGTACTTCGTATAATAGTAGAATACAAGTTAATGAGTAGTGTATTATTACAAACTACCTACTATTACAACTATTGTATATTATATACTAAACTATTAAATATTAATACTACATATTATACTACTACAATATTTATATTAAACTACTAATAACAACTATGTAACTATTAACTACTACACTATTTATATATACTACTACAACTATTGTACTACTTATTAGAGAACTATGTACTATAATTGGATGAATACAACTATTGACTCTACTAGACTCTGTTACTCTCACATTGAATACGTATATTATACTAAACTATTGTCTACTTAGCAAAACTTGTACTACCGATGTATATGCTCATTACCTTTATACTACAAGCATGCTCTATATTGTGGCTATACAACTTCCTCAAAATCATACTGCGAAACTATTGTCAGACTACAATAGCACTACACATGTAGCTAAGAAAACTATTGTGACGAGTTTACAAATTATGTGTACATCATTGTACTACACAATATAATACTAAAATAGAATGGATTAACTCGGTATTGTACTACATATACCACTAACTATGTTAACAACTATTGAACTATTATACTCACTACAACTATTGTACTATTATACTACTACAAATATTATACTACTACAACTATTGTACTACTACTACAACTATTGTACTACTACTACAACTATTGTACTACTACTACAACTATACTACTACAACTATTGTACTACTACAACTATTGTACTATTATACTACTACAACTACTGTACTACTACTATTATACTACTACAACTATTATACTAACTACTACAACTATTGTACTATTATACTACTACTACAACTATTTATTTATTTATTTAGTAATTTGAGCATACATACAGAGGTACAAAAAAAATACAGGTAAGAGCAGCATGCCAAAGCCACTTATATGCATAGCATTACGGGCTGGCTAAAATTAACTTAAGATTAACTAAGCAATGATGAAATCAGTGATAAAACATTGTACTATTATACTTCTACTACAACTATTATACTACTACTACAACTATTGTACTATTATACTACTACAACTATTGTACTATTATACTACTACTACAACTATTATACTACACTACAACTATTGTACTACTATATATACTACTACAACAATTGTACTATTATACTACTACATCTATTGTACTACTACTACAATTGTACTACTACAACAACTATTGTACTATTATACTACTACTACTACTGTTATATTACTTCTATTATTATACTACTACTCTACTAATGACGTATCGGATATCCAAATCCGCATTCGCAGAACATCCGCACAATTTCTTACATCTACACCTGCATCCACATCTGCAAAATAAGTAAGATATCCTCATACACATCCTCATCCACGGATATCAGAATTTTCACATCCGATACATCTCTATACTCTTACTACTGCTACTACTACTATACATATTACTATTACTACTACCCTATAACTCCATTTTCTACCTCTAGTACCGTTATACCTTTACAAACACTAGTACTACTAGTCACAGGTGTAGGTAGCCAACCTGGGCCCAGAAATTAGGCATATTCTCCCCCCCCCCCCATCCACCACCACCACTGCTGAGAAACAAAGTTCGTAAAATTAGTAAAGAAACACCAACAATGTCCTTAAATAATTTTTGTTGAAATCAAATGCAAAATGCAATATATTTTAAAATTTATATTGCTGATCTCAACACAGATTTAAATGACAGATTTAAAAATATATACTATATTAATAAGCTGTTACTCTGATACAGTTGATTTCGGCAGGTTTTTAGCTCTTCCAGAGTACTTAAAGTGTTTTATCCCTACAACTGTACGTGTAATTGCAGATGTAAAAATATTCTCAGTGCAATGATAATCTTTATGACCCAACATGTTTCCTTCCCTATACCACTAGCAGTGGCGTCATTAGGGGGGTCGGGGGGGGGTGCCCGGGTGACACCATAGAGCCTCTAAAGGTGACACTAATGTCCATAACAATGCTGCACCAACATAAGAGAAGAATCCATCATTTCTATATAGCCTCCTATATGATTACACAGTACAAATAGGCCTATATAGGGAAAATCATTGATTTTGATGATGTGATAGATGATTTTGCAGGGTTGAAGGCAAGGAAATATAAGATCAGATTCACTGAGATGTTACCTGTACTCAAGGTCAAATCAGAACTAGTGTTTCTCTGATATTGCAATGTTTTTCAAGTTTTTTTTTTCATTGTTGAAAATGAATAAATGTAGGATCTGTTGCCTGTACTCAAAGTGGTATTTGAGTTTGTGTGTTCTCAATATTACTATGATTGTATATTTTATCATTAATAAAGTTGAGAAGTATTCTCCTGTTCGGTTTATGGCCCTTAAACGTTCTCATTGCTAAACATTAGTCACTGGGCATGAAGTAGTTACATAACTGGAGTTCACTGCCCCCCATCCCCCTGCCCTTGGATTTCATGTGGATGACACCAAAGATGCTGCCCTGGGTGACACCAAAGATTCTGCCCCAGGTGACACCAACTCTAGCAATGCTAATGACCACTAGTGTCCCCAACACATTTCTTTCCTTGTACTGCTAGTGTACCAACATGTTTCCTTCCTTGTACTGCTAGTGTCCCCAACACGTTTCCTTCCGTGTACTGCTAGTGTCTCCAGCACATTTCTTTCCTTATATTGCTAGTATCTCCACCAGGTTTACTTCCTTACAGTGTTGACTGTAACATGTTTGCTTCCTGATAATGCTAGTTGCTCTATCACATTTTCATCCATAAATTGCAGGTTGCTCAAGACTTTTTTCTCCTTATGATGCTTGCTTGTGCCTTGAATAAGTTTACTCCTTTTTTACTGCCTGTGGCTCCAGTACATTTCCTTGTACAATATTGGTGACCCAACACTCTTCCTTCCTTAAAACACTTGTCTCCATCACATTTCCTTCTTTATAACGTTAGTGGCCACAACGCATTATGTATCTTCTTAATAATGCTGGTGGCCCCAGTACATATCCCTCCATTTAATGCTGGTGGCCCCAGTACATGTCCCTCTATTTAATGCTGGTGGCCCCAGCATGTTTCACTTTTTACATTGTTGGTGGCACCTGTACGTTTTTCTTCTTACATTGCTGGTGGTCCCAACATGTTTCCCTTCATATATTACGGGTGACACGAGCGTGTTTCCCTTTTTATATTGCTGGTGGCACCACCACATTTGGTACTCATTTTTCCTTTAGTCACTCTCCCCTTCACTGATGAGAAAATTATTTTATTGTTTTGAGCAACACCCATCATCCATTTTTATATACAGTATACGAAACATTCTTGGTTTATACACTTTGGGATAAGAATTTTTCTGTATTAAAGTACAGTAAATGTTAGACATGTTTGACACATTATGCACTTAACATATACATTTTCACTATTACAACAAGGATTTAAGTACATTACTCTGTAAAATTTATAAATTAAGTAGTATTATTTTTGTTTTTGTTTTTCTGGTAGATGTGCGCTGGCTTGAAAGCTCAGGATATTGCGAGCTCATTTAAAAAGATGGTTAACAAACGTGAGAACCTGGAAACTCTGGGAGGGATGTCAACGGCCTCCTCTGAAGGCACCACGCACTCTGTACGCTTAGAAGAACAGTTGGCATTCTCTGACTGGATAAACTCTAACCTTGGACACGATCCTGACCTGAAACATCTGCTGCCCATTGACGGAGAAGGTCGCTACTTGTATGATAAAGTTAAGGATGGCATTCTTCTTTGGTAAGTTGTGATGTGCTGGCAAAATAAATAATGTCCCTTCAATTTATGCCCTCAGACCTATGTAGTTTTTCTGTTCATGTCTTGTACTTCTTTTTGACTTGGGAGGATGCTTCTGTATTCTGACTCTTTTTCTGGTAATAACTCAACATTCCATAAACACCACAGTACTCTGAGTCACCCTTGACTCCAAACTACATCTAAGCACACACATCAGTGCCGAGGGAATGATGGCAGGTGATGCTTTCAGCTGTCTGTACAAACTCAAAGGCATTCACATATCCACCAAACTTCACATCTACATGGTCCTCATATGTCCTTTAATCACCTACACACCTCTTGCTCACTATCTGATTCTCAAATCCCATGCCATGAAGCTGCAGTGAATCCAGAACCAGGCATTGCGCTGGATACTGCATGTGAAGTGGCAGAATTTTGCCATGAGCAAATCTCTCCACATCAGGACTGGCATCCTGGCTCCCAATGTCTTTTAGAAAAAGTCCAGCAACATACAGTTAGGCAGTTATGAGAAAACACCTTGAGGACTGGACTGCCTACCTAGATGAGATTTTTAGACACTTTTACAACCATCTCAAACTTTTCCAGTTTCTTGACACCTCTGCCCTTATCCCTCACTACTGTTATTCCTTAAACCTAAGCCTTTCCTTCTTCCCTTCTGCAGGAGTTTACCACCATCACCTTCCTGACATAATCCTAAACTAACCACTTCCCAGCCATAGCTGTGCCGTAGCTGTGGTCTCGGTACAGGGCAATGAGTTTAATCCCCACCGATGGGTGGGGATTAAACTCATTGCGAGTTCAATCCCTGCTTGTATTGTGGCTTGTTTGCAGTTGTATCATTACGATTTCTTGAGTCAAAGCTAAAGCTGGTGCCACACAATGCCTTGCTGCGGGATCAAGTTCTGGCTCTTTTTCTCTTTTCTTCAACTTTTTCCCCTCCTCCCACTGGTTTTGATGAAATGCTGGTTAGTTAACTCGGGTGAGGGTGGAGATGCACTGGTCAGTATTTCTTCCCCGTACATCAGGAAGCAGAGTTTGATACAGCAAGTGTTGTCAGTGGCTTTTAATAACCCCCAACAAGAAGACTGACATCGTAGAAAAACAGGCTTCTGTACCAGATTTGGTTAAGTCTATATATCTCACTTTTGCCCTGCTCTGAGCATTAGTAACAAATTTCTCGTGCTTTCTCTTGGGATGCTCATCCTCATCACACACAGCCCACTGGACAATTGGCTGGGGCACCGTATATCGGTTCTGGGGAAGGCTTACTATTGTTGGCTTGGGAGATTGGGATGAAGGGTGTTTGGTTCTGCCTTGGGTTCAAGAAAGGGAGTTCACCTGAGTTAATTCAAAACATTTGTTTCCCATTTTTTTGAGGAAACTTGCCCAGATTTGGGAGAAATTTTCACTGGACTTTTGGGGACAAAATCCATACAGCATATGCTTTCATAACTCTTTCAGTAGCACCAACCAGCACCTTCGGAAAACCAGTTTATTTCATAGAATGCCTCAATAATTACATACATTACTGTATTTCACTTATTTTTAATAAAATATGAACTGTTTAGCAAAAAACCAGTTGTGGGAAAGGCAGTATTGTTGTTGATGATAAGTATATTGGATTCTTAAAACTTTTCACATGCTTATTTGTTCACAAAATATTTTTTCATGCCAGGATTTCATAGTAATTTATGTATTCTTTCCATTCAGCAAAGTGATTAATCACTCATGTCCAGACACCATTGACGAGAGAGCCATTAACACCCGCAACTTAACACTGTACACCAAGCATGAGAACCTCACTCTGGCACTCACCTCATCTCAGGCCATTGGCTGCAATGTTGTCAATATTGATGCTCATGACTTGGCTAAAGGTGAGAAATATTTCAGTTTCCTTATTCATAACGTGGGGAAAATATTGAAGGTAATGCGAGATAATTATGATCAAGAGTGCTAAATGTTGTGCAGCAAGGGATGAATTGAGAAGTTTTTTATTATAATTATCATTATTATTAAGTGGAAAATGGTAAACCCATAGGAGTAACAGAGCACTTATAGTATAACAGGTAATCAGGTTTGATCAGAAGGGGAGGATAGCCCCAATTCCTTGGATCAAGATCTTTACTTGCATCAACACATGCCCCCTTGAAGAAAAATTGAAAGGTACATTACAATACCTCAATACTTTGAGATTAAAGGTAAAAATACTTTGTCACTATGTTGTTGGAATTGGCTGTAGTTTACAACTACTGCTTTGTAGAACTTAGACAGTAGTTTACATTTTACAATACATACAACCCATGCATGTATACTAGAATAAGTATTCTTGTGTAAATTATTTTGGGTTATAGTTGTGCCCTTGCCTGGACATATCAGTGCTTAGTATTAAGTCTTATCATGCACCGGGCTGAAGGTAAGCAAAGATGGATATCTACCAATGGTGGAGTAAGGTAAAGTTATTTTAAGTTGGGTCAGGTGTTTTGTTAAGTTATATTTTACTATTTGTACAACAAAATATCTCTGCTGTAAAACGAGCTTAATATTGTGCAGTTCATATTATAATTAATGACCAAAATCTGCTAAAGGGCAGTTATCTACTATTACCCTGTAATTATATCACAATACCACAAATCAAAATGAATCATATAACATCTCAGTCCACCACAGACCATTACCAAACCACATGTAAGAAGGAACTTTGTGACAGCCAATACTGTAGCAAGGTGAAGGCAATGGATTGTGAGTTGACAGCACATGCTTGGTCAGTCTTTATGTGTTCTAAAGATAAAATCATTCGTAACATAGTTGAACACCTAGAATTAATGTACATACTTCGTAATCCTCGTAAATTCAGTTATACAACTTTTTACGGAAGACCATTTTTCAAATAGCTTAACATATTCACATTTTTTCTTGGTGTCCATTGTCTTCTTACTTGGTGCACAATCCTTAAATTGAGAATTTTAAATGTAATCAGTTTCTTGTATAAATTTTAGCCTTTTATATTCCCCATGGCATTAGTTCCATTAATGTAACCATTTTGCTGTAGTATATATATTAGCCTTTTATTTTCCCCATGGTATTACTTACATCATCATAAGCCAACTACTAGTTTTCAATTTATATTTATGTGTTGTATATGAATATAGTTTAAAATTTTCTTCTTCATGTATTTTTGGGAGTACTGTAGAATAATGCTGGAATACTCTTCTTGTTCAACCAGGAAAACCTCACCTAGTGTTGGGTCTGCTGTGGCAGATTATTCGCATTGGGTTGTTCAATCAGATCACCCTGGAGCATTGCCCAGGTCTAGCCAACTTGCTGGAAGATGGAGAGAAGATCGAGGAGCTGATGAAGCTCTCCCCTGAGGCTATCCTTCTCCGATGGGTTAACCACCACTTGGAGCGTGCTGGTGTTAACAGGTACGTAGTAATTCATTTAAATTATTTTATCTTTGTAAGCACTAAATCTATGTAGATCATTCAATGCTGGAGTGGTGGAGGCTGTCTTCCATCCCTTAAGCACACGGCAGAATACACAAATTCATTCTCCAATGTACAGGTTATTTATGTATTGTTCCATTCATGGTATTGTGCCTTTTTAGTCTTCACAGGACAAAAGCACTACCTAACTGCACTCTCCTAGTTTTACTGATTTAAAGACTGAGAAATATAGATGTGTTATTTGTGTATAAAATATGACAACAGTTATGTTTTTAAAGGTATCACATTAATTTATAATGTTTGACTTTGAAATACATCACCATAATTGCTGTGGTTTAATACCAATTAGCACCACATTTACTGAGGATCAGCACAAGTTGACAAATTTCAGTAGGAAGTAATAACTGTGTATCTACCAGTAACATGAGCTCAGGTGACAGTGTAATATTTTAAAAGTAAACCTGCTTTACTACCATCTGTGTTCAACTTTCAATTTATATATTTTTTTAAATTTTACTTCAGCAGTGATGTGTAAAAAAAGTTTTTCATTCAATTTTTACTAATCTCTTGGTGTGGGAGGGATTGATAGAATTGTATGTACCCTGGGCACAAAAATTCTTCCAAGTGGGTCCTCTGGGTACAGAACACAAGAGCTTGCACTTAAGACAGGTATTTTTAGAGTTAACAAAAAAAAAGGCACAATACCGTGACTGAACAATGCGTGACTTTGTAGATGGTCCAAGTCGGACCGAAACGTCGTCGTAAGCTCCTCTCTTCTATGTGCAGGTTATTTGTGTATTTTTAAAGTTATGCTTAGATTGATGACTAGAAATTAACATAAATTTACAATGCTATAGAAAAAACATGCTAGATATAGATGCCTTTTATTTCTGCAGACGCTGCACAAACTTCATGAGTGACATCAAGGACTCAGAGATCTATTCTCATTTACTGAAGCAAATTCACCCAACGATGCTGGTGTGACCATGGAGGCACTCTCTGTAAGTTGATTGTGATTGTGGTTACTTGTAATTTTTTTAATGTAAATTACTTAATCACAGCTCCAGTTTTACACATCCTTTTTGTTCATCATTTACTTGATTAAAGAGAAATGTGTTTTAAAAATAATTTTTTTTTTCAACAAGCTGGTAATATTCCACCGAGGCAGAGTGACCTAAAAAGAAAAACGAAAGTTTTTCTTTTTAAATTTAGTAATCTATACTAGCCCTTAAAAAATAAATATAAATATTTTATTTATTTATTTATTTTCTCCATGGGGAAGTGCAACAGAATTCTTCCTCTGTAAGCCATGCGTGTTGTAAGAGACGACTAAAATGCCGGGAGCAAGGGGCTAGTAACCCCTTCTCCTGTATATATTACTAAAGGTAAAAGGAGAAACTTTCCTCTTTCCTTTTGGGCCACCCACCCTGTTTTAATAATTGCTTTTTAAAACCATTTCAGGAACAAGATTTAATGGCCAGAGCCGAAATAATGTTGCAACAAGCAGAAAAACTGGGTTGCCGTAGCTTCCTGACCCCACAGGATGTAGTGGAAGGAGTTTACAAGCTAAATGTGGCTTTTGTTGCTAACCTCTTCAATAACCACCCTGGACTTGACAAGCCTGAAAATATTGATTTTGAGGGCCTTGACCACATTGAAGAAACTAGGGAAGAAAAGAGTAAGTATACATAAAGATGCACTAAATAGAAAAAAATGATCATACATAATGATATATACATATAACTACAGGGTAAAAAAATGTGTATGCATGCACAAAGTATTGTACTGTAAATTAACCCGCAATAAATTAATTTCAGTCATAAGTCCAGGGAAGAAGAATATGCTTTATTCCAATTAATGTAACCTGTACCATAAATCAAGGGATACCATATGCTTTTAATTAAAAGAAATTGTCTGTTTTGAACAAGATTTGACTGAGGTAATGTATCTTCAGTTTTGCTTCACTATGTTTGTTTTAGTTGCTGTTTAAAAATAGTTGGCTTAGGATTTTGTAGGAAGGGAGTAAAGGAGGTTTTTATGTGTGAGGGGCTTAGACATCTAACAAGCGTGTTAGATAGTGAGTGGAGGCAAGTGGTTTTTATGACTTGACGTGCTGTTGGAGTGTAAACAAGTAACATGAAGGGATTCGGGGAAACTGGTTAGCCAACTTGATCCTTGGAGGTGGGAAGTACAGTGCCTGCACTTTAAAGGAAGGTTGGGGATATTTGCAATTTTTGTAACAGATCTCCCAGCCTATATTACTTTTCTCTGATTTATTAGAGAATAGCAAATTTTAGACACTAATGTTTAATCAGATCATTAGAACTTTACAAAATGTGTACATAAATTATATTTGTATTACAGCCTATCGTAACTGGATGAACAGTATGGGCGTTAACCCCCATGTTAATTGGCTGTACTCCGACCTTGCTGATGGCATCATCATCTTCCAGTTGTATGACATCATCAGACCCGGTGTTGTTGACTGGAAGCGGGTCCACAGGTGTGTGAGATTATACAGTGCTAATGACCTCTTGAAAATTGCCTAAAAGTCTTAATATGAGCTTATGTTATTTTTATATTCACAGGTAAGTACTACCTAGGTAGTAGGTTGGTAGACAGCAGCCGCCCAGGGAGGTACTACCGTCCTGCCAAGTGAATGTAAAATGAAAGCCTGTAATTGTTTTACATGATGGTAGGATTGCTGGTGTTTTTTCTGTCTCATAAACATGCAAGGTCACACTACACATACATGTACAAGCATATATATACACACCCCTCTGGGTTTCCTTCTATTTTCTTACTAGTTCTTCTTCTTGTTTATTTCCTCTTATCTCTATGGGGAAGTGGAAGAGAATTCTTCCTCCGTAAGCTATGCATGTTGTAAGAGGCGACTAAAATGCCAGGAGCAAGGGGCTAGTAACCCCTTCTCCTGTATATATTACTAAATGTGAGAGGAGAAACTTTTGTTTTTCCTTTTGGGCCACCCCACCTCAGTGGGATACGGCCGGTGTGTTGAAAGAAAGAAGAAAGGTAAGTACTAAACCTGTAGGGATTATACAACACCTGGAATATGGGAAGTAATCAGGAATAAACCAAGGAAAGGGAGGGTAGCTTAAAATTCCTTGGATCAAGAGCCCTTCACCTGTATCAAAGCATCCTCTTTGGAGGGTTGAAACTGAAGTGTATGTCACTACATTGTATGAGAGGAATTAGTAGCAGGGTAATAAGAGCTGTGTGGAAGAATTTTATTAAAGTGAATAATAACTGGAGAAGGAAGTTTCAAAGATGAATAATTTCATAGAATTTTTTTAAATGCATGAATTGGAAGGGATGAGGAGATTATGGAGGGAGATAAGATGTATGGGAGGATAATGAAGGAAGAGGAGATATGTGAGATAATGGAGGGAGATGAGAGGGGTATAAGGAGGGAATAAAAGGAGACAAGTCAGGAATGAGAAACAGATATTTATTTTTATTTTTATTTTATTATCACACTGGCCGATTCCCACCAAGGCAGGGTGGCCCGAAAAAGAAAAACTTTCACCATCATTCACTCCATCACTGTCTTGCCAGAAGGGTGCTTTACACTACAGTATTTAAACTGCAACATTTACACCCATCCTTCAGAGTGCAGGCACTGTACTTCCCATCTCCAGGACTCAAGTCCGGCCTGCCAGTTTCCCTGAACCCCTTCATAAATGTTACTTTGCTCACACTCCAACAGCACGTCAAGTATTAAAAACCATTTGTCTCCATTCACTCCTATCAAACACGCTCACGCATGCCTGCTGGAAGTCCAAGCCCTTCGCACACAAAACCTCCTTTACCCCCTCCCTCCAACCTTTCCTAGGCTGACCCCTACCCCGCCTTCCTTCCACTACAGACTGATACACTCTTGAAGTCATTCTGTTTCGCTTCATTCTCTCCACATGTCCGAACCACCTCAACAACCCTTCCTCAGCCCTCTGGACAACAGTTTTGGTAATCCCGCACCTCCTCCTAACTTCCAAACTACGAATTCTCTGCATTATATTCACACTACACATTGCTCTCAGACATGACATCTCCACTGCCTCCAGCCTTCTCCTCGCTGCAACATTCATCACCCCTGCTTCACACCCATATAAGAGCGTTGGTAAAACTATACTCTCATACATTCCCCTCTTTGCCTCCAAGGACAAAGTTCTTTGTCTCCACAGACTCCTAAGTGCACCACTCACCCTTTTCCCCTCATCAATTCTATGATTCACCTCATCTTTCATAGACCCATCCGCTGACACGTCCACTCCCAAATACAGTGGACCTCCGCATACCGTTGGCATTACATACCGTTTATTCCGCATACCGCTCACTTTAATCGCATAAATTTTGCCTCGCATACCGCTCAAAAACCCGCTCACCGCTGTTCGTCCGAGACGCGTCCAATGTGCGCCTTAGCCAGCCTCACATGTTCCGCCGGTGGCATTGTTTACCAGCCAGCCTCCGCGGTAGCATCCAAGCATACAATCGTAACATTTTGTATTATTACAGTGTTTTTGGTGATTTTATCTGGAAAATAAGTGACCATGGGGCCCCAAGAAAGCTTCTAGTGCCAACCCTACAGCAATAAGGGTGAGAATTACTATAGAGATGAAGAAAAAGATCATTGATAAGTATGAAAGTGGAGTGCGTGTCTCCGAGCTGGCCAGGTTGTATAATGAACCCCAATCAACCATCGCTACTATTGGTGGTACAGCTGCTGCTGCTGCTGTAGCATCGTCTGCTGCTGCTGTAGCATCGTCTGCTGCTGCTGTAGCATCGTCTGCTGCTGCTGTAGTATCGTCTGCTGCTGCTGCTGCTGTAGCATCGTCTGCTGCTGCTGTAGCATCATCTGCTGTAGCATCGTCTGCTGCTGCTGTAGCACTGTTGTTGGTGTGGCTTATTGAGAATATACCAAGAAACAATTAACCCCAGAGGATTTTCCACCCAGGATAACCCAAAAAAGTCATTGTCATCGAAGACTGTCTAACTTATTTCCATTGGGGTGCTTAATCTTGTCTCCCAGGATGCAACCCACAGCAGTCGACTAACACCCAGGTGAACAGGGAAAAATGCCTGGAACTAGTGCTCATATTGGTGAATTTAAAGCCAGCAAAGGTTGGTTTGAGAGATTTAAGAATCGTAGTGACATACACAGTGTGATAAGACCTGTTCTGGAAGAAAATGCCAAACAGGACCTACAGTACTCAGGAGGAAAAGGCACTCCCAGGACACAGTGTCTCATCAGTCATTGCTGCATCTTCAATAAAGGTAAGTGTCATTTATTCTTCATTTAGTAGACTAGTACATGCACAATATATACTGTGCATGTACTACTCTACTATTGTGCATGTATCCTTCTCTTTGTGTGTAGGAAAATGTATATTTCATGTGGTAAAATTTTTTTTTTCATACTTTTGGGTGTCTTGCACGGATTAATTTGATTTCCATTATTTCTTATGGGGAAAATTCATTCGCATACCGATTATTTCGCATACCAATGAGCCCTCTTGCATGGATTAAAATCTGTATGCGGGGGTCCACTGTATCTGAATACATTCACCTCCTCCATACTCTCTCCCTCCAATCTGATATCCAATCTTTCATCACCTAATCTTTTTGTTATCCTCATAACCTTACTCTTTCCTGTATTCACTTTCAATTTTCTTCTTTTGCACACCCTACCAAATTCATCCACCAATCTCTGCAACTTCTCTTCAGAATCTCCCAAGAGCACAGTGTCATCAGCAAAGAGCAACTGTGACAATTCCCACTTTGTGTGATTCTTTATCTTTTAACTCCACGCCTCTTGCCAAGACCCTCGCATTTACTTCTCTTACAACCCCATCTATAAATATATTAAACAACCACGGTGACATCACACATCCTTGTCTAAGGCCTACTTTTACTGGGAAATAATTTCCCTCTTTCCTACATACTCTAACTTGAGCCTCACTATCCTCGTAAAAACTCTTCACTGCTTTCAGTAACCTACCTCCTACACCATACACCTGCAACATCTGCCACATTGCCCCCCTATCCACCCTGTCATACGCCTTTTCCAAATCCATAAATGCCACAAAGACCTCTTTAGCCTTATCTAAATACTGTTCACTTATATGTTTCACTGTAAACACCTGGTCCACACACCTCCTACCTTTCCTAAAGCCTCCTTGTTCATCTGCTATCCTATTCTCCGTCTTACTCTTAATTCTTTCAATAATAACTCTACCATACACTTTGCCAGGTATACTCAACAGACTTATCCCCCTATAATTTTTGCACTCTCTTTTATCCCCTTTGCCTTTATACAAAGGAACTATGCATGCTCTCTGCCAATCCCTAGGTACCTTACCCTCTTCCATACATTTATTAAATAATTGCACCAACCACTCCAAAACTATATCCCCACCTGCTTTTAACATTTATTATTGTCTGAAAACTAAACTAGGCCAGCATATCACATCAAAACCTTAGAGGATGATTATTATAAGTTCTAAATCCATAAGGGTAATACAGGGCCTTTGGGGAAAGTGAGAGATTATCAGATTTGATAAGGTGAGGGATGAAAGGACATCACAGGATATATGATCAAGGGGTGTGTGACTGAGGGATAGTCTCTAAGAGTCCAGTGATTTAATCATGGCACCTTCATAATGCATGGCTCTCTCTCTCTAATGTTGTGTATATGTCCGTATATATAAGGGGTGAAATGTTTTCGCATTTATTATTTTTAGGGTAACTGTTATGTATTATGTACGAGCCAAATTTATAACATTAATGGAATATTACTAGAGAATTTAAGTTTGATTATACTTTGGATAAAATCCCTGCTCGATATTTGTACATTATATTACTTACAGAATATAATAAAACTAACAAAAGTTTCATGTTATATAACAAATGGGTGAAAGGTTTTCACTATGAAATGGATGAAAGGCAGAATGATAGGCCACTGTCCTTTCTTTTTGCTCACAGCTGATTTGTATGGAAGTTGAGAAATATTATTAGATTAAGACTAGGCAGTTGGCTACTGTGAATATATTTTATAGTAATGAATAAGAGCATCAGCTGATTCATGTTCCTAGAAGTACAGTGGAACCTCGATTATCGTGATTAATCTTATCGAAAAAATCTGACGTAAACCTGAATCATACAAAAACTGAAGCAATATTTCCTATAAGAAATAACGTAAATCCAATTAATCCATTCCAGACACCCAAAAATATTAACAAAAAATACATTATATAGAGAATAACTATAGTTTTACACACAAACTGGGGCATACAAAAACTGAGGTTTGACTGTACATTAGTAAACTGATATATCAGAGTATCATGAATTTAGTAAGGTATTGAATGATCTAGATTATAAATCTAAGTTGTAACATTCATGTACTGTACCCCAAGGCCATGAAAGTTTTTTCCTTGATTTTATTTTATTCATTAAGCCATTTCTTTCTCTACAGTAAGTTCAGCAAACTGAAGAAGTTTATGGAGAAACTTGAAAATTGCAATTATGCAGTTGAGCTTGGCAAACAGCTGAAGTTCAGCCTTGTGGGTATTGCCGGACAAGACTTAGCAGATGGCAACCCAACTCTCACTTTAGGTTAGTCATTATGTTTTCACCACTTTGTATCACCTACCTGTAGCCACAATTATCTGCATTTTTGAAAATTTTGGATAAAGAAATTTTAATAATATTTTTATAGGTGTAGCTTATTACAGACATCTCTGTACCCAACTCAAAAGTTGTGATGACAATATAATCCTGCTTGCTGTGAGTAGTAACAGACTGATTGATCAAGCAGTCAACCAAAAAGAAATCTTGTCTCAGGTGCATCAGACAAATTGTGTGTTTAGTCTCACTGATGGATGGAGATTGTGTTTACCTCTATCTGACTTGTCATGTTCATTCTTCTATTCAAGTTTTTGTCAGTACTGTAACTTTATTGTTGATGTTCAGAATCTGATTTATATTAGTATTATTACATTCATGGGAACACTGAACCTATAGGAGTCATACAGTGCTTAGGTGAAGGGGGGTTAGTCAGATTCAGTCCAAGGAAAGAGAAGAAAAGTTCAGTTCCTTAGATCAATTCTATGGTCCACTTCATCTTTCATATACCCACCTGTCGACAAGTATACTCCCAAATTTATTTGAATAATTTACATTTTTGTCAGTGTGCATAGGTAAAACAAGTTCAACTGTAGTATTTTTTGTGTAAAGAAGAACATTTAACATATTTCCCTAGAGCCATGTACTCTTAAATTGCTTCTTTTATCCTACACCCTTAACCCTTTGAAGATCAGTCACATACATGTACATCTTAACAGCCAGTGTCGGTCACATACTTATATGCCAAGATTCTAGTGCCTTTAAATCTGGTGGAAGAAAGCTGGTAGGCCTACATCCGAAAGAATGGGTCTGCGGGGTCAGTGTGCGCAGTTTAAAAAAAAATCCTGCAGCATGCAATGCATGAGAAAAAAAAACTCCAACCGTGCTTTTGGTTTAAAACAGCTACTTTGCTGTGTATTTTCGTATGGTATTTATGGTTGTATTCTCGCTTTCTTGGTCTCACTTGATAGAATGGAAAATATATTACAGAAATAGAGATGACGATGATTGATTTCACGATGAAAAGTACCTTGAAATTGAGCTCAAAGTAGTAGAAATGTTCGATTTTTGCCGCTGTTCAAGAGTAAACAAATCACGCCATGCATCCAATACACGTCAACTGGCGAGTCTAATATTCTTTCACAAGTGCGCTGATATTATTTAAACCATTTTTTTACAGTAATACAGTAGTCTGCATAACAGTAAATCTTCTGTTTTTTTGTGAGAATGAAATTTCAAAATGGAAAGCAAGAGTGATATAAGAGGGGCCTGGAGACGTGACTAATGAACAGAGAAAATGTTATTTTAGTGCCAGGAATGTGTCTTGTTTATTCTGGACCCTATTTTGAAATTTGCAGCATCTGAAATGTGTGTGAAATTGGCAAAATTCTCAGTAGTAGTAACTGGTTACTAGACTGGTAACTGGTTACTACTACTGAGAAAATTGCCAATTTCTGACCACTTTATTGGGTAGTTGAAATCAGTAAATGGGCAGTTTCTTGTATTCAATCGACAGAACAAATGGAAATAGCTATGATTTTAGTCGACTAGAACATTGGAATTGGCCGAAATAGGGCTCAAAATGGGCAAAATCGCCGATGCATAAATATCGTTGAGACCACTAACTTTGCGAGAGCATGATTCCAAAAGTTTTCCATCAAATTTCGTACTTTTGGTGTCATTACCATCGGGAAAAGATTTTTTTTTTTTCTTTTTTTTTTTTTTAAATTTTCGACCTTGAGTGGGAGTTCAGGATCGAGGGTCTCGACCCTCAAAGGGTTAAAGTTGCTGCTTTTAACTTTTGTTTACACCATCTCACATATTAATGCTCATTTCAATCATGGGAAAATGCTAAACTTTTAGGGTCATGCAGTACCTGAGAAGTAGGATGAAATTAGGTTTGATTCAAGAAAGGAAAAAGCAACTTGAATTCCTTGGAGCAAAACCCACAAGTTTAAATGAGGCTTGCCTGCACTACTTGTAGAGAATCAAAGCGTAAGTGCAAATATTATATGGTGACTAATTTTTGTAACTCTACATTTCAGCCCTGATCTGGCAGTTGATGAGGGCATACACCCTGTCCATCTTAACACAGTTAGCAGATTCTGGCAGCCCTATTGTAGAGGCCGAGATCATCACATGGGTCAATTCCAAATTAAAGGAAGCTGGCAAGACATCAAGCATCAGAAGCTTCCAGGACTCTAGTCTCCAGAATGCCCTTGCTGTTATTGACCTTGTTGATGCCATTAAACCCGGCACAATCAATTATGATGTTGTGAAGATAACAAAGGATGAAGAGGCAAGTTGCAGATGATGGGGATAATCTTTACTTTACTACTACTGCCACCACCACAATTACTTCAGTGTACTCTTACTACCATTTCTTTTTCCTTTTGTTTTCTTTCCATTGCCGCTTCTTATCAGTGTCCCTTATCTCACCTCTTCTCCTTGCTTTTATTTATATAGACATGAGAGGGCCTTGCATATACAGCATCTTTTTGGCTCTCCACATTTTCATTGGCTTTAAATTGAGGCATTGTTCCACCTGCCAGTGAACATTGCCAGCGGGTTGAACAATTGCTCAGCTGAAAGGCAATGAAAGTGTAGAACACCGAAAAGAGATACTGTATATGTGGGATGCCTCTGCCAGCAGGTGTGTGTGAATGTCTCAAATAGGAGTGAGTGTAGGCAAAAGGTTTTTGGAATTGGTGAGCTGTTGGAGTGTGAGTATGGTAACATTTTGTGAAGGGATTCTGGGAAACCAGTTAGCCAAACTTAAGAGTCCTGGAGGTGGGAAGTACATTGCCTGCACTCTGAAGGAGGGGGTGGGGATGTTTGCAGTTTGTCTGAACTGTAGTATTGGCATACCTCTGGAATGGGAATGTATAATTCTGGGTTAGTAATTGTTGCATAAACACAGTATAATTTGCATTTTAGTGCAGTATTTCATTAGCATTTTATTGAAAAAGTGGTCTCTGTATATGCATTTTTTGGGTTTCCTTTGTGTGTACATGAGGAAGCACTAACCCTATAAGGGAGTCTTACAGCGCCTGGGGAATGGGAGGTAATCAGGTTTAGATCCTAGGAAAGGGAGATTAGTTCCAGTTCAGCTTCAAGGAAAATCCCATCTCCTTCAAGGGTCAACCTTAGTAGACTCGTCCTGTGATACATTCTTTCCACAGTATTTAAATACATGCACTTCCTACACCATACATTCTGACCTGTGTACAGTTTCAAGTGGAAGATACCTTTTTTAAACCCAGTTGTATTTTCCTGTGAGGATGGAAAAATAAAAGGGAGAAATTCTAAGTAAATACAAGCAACATTTTTTAATCTTAGATTTTTTTTTTCAGGATAATATTGCCAATGCTAAGTATGCAATTTCGATGGCACGAAAGATTGGCGCTCGGATCTATGCCCTCCCTGAAGACTTCACTGAAGTGAAACCCAAGATGATCATGACAGTGTTTGCATGTCTCATGGCACGAGACTACATACCCAATATGGATACCAAAAAGAATTAAATTAGGTGAACAAAAATTGAGTGTTTGAAGTGTATATGTTGTATGAATGGTACGTAATGTTTCTTAAAATGTATAGACTTTTTATAAAATTTTCATCGAGCTTTGCTATCGCAGAATTTCATGGCTTTTGATGTGGTGAATTAGCATAAGGCCCATATTCAGGACACATGCCTAAATGAAGCTGTGTACTCTTTGTTATGCTGTGCCAACATATTTGCTCTAATCAGTATCATCTGTGCTTTTATGTCCACATGGTGAATATTGGGAAGAATAATTAGGTAAACATTCACTATATTTATATAAACACTTAAGGAACTGAGGCAGTGCTGCACATGGCCGGGAGAGCATTGTATCCTGAGTATTGCTTGATGTAAAGCATGCTGAATATGGGTATAAGATTCCATTGTTCAGCATTTTGTAGACACAGCTGACAGTATTTTCTAAGTTGCTAGACTTAATCAGTCATTGCACTAAGTGACTTAGTAGTAATAGCAAAGAATGTAGGATTTAATTGCACAGTCAATAACAAGGCTTTATCCTTGGGTAGTTTTTTAACATGATTTGTATATCAGTATTGAAAACACATTTTAGAAGTTATTGACTCATTGATCATATCAGTGACATGGGTTTTACAAGAAAAGTTTTTAAGAGTTTTATTTTAAGCATAAGTTCAAATTTAAAACTGAAGTTTTGATCATAAAATAGTGCTTTGTTGCCATGTCTGTGTTTAATTATATACATGTCAGCAAGACCAAACACTGCCTACATTAACAATCTGTCATAGCCAGAATAATTTACATCATATTTTTTTATTAAAGTTTACTGAGTTGCGGCCCCCAAAACCCTTTGTAAGAAAATAATTTTGACTGATTTACGCGTTTAACCTGCCAGTTTAAAATTTTTAAGCAAGATTCAAGGATTAATCTGTTCATTAAAAACCCAAAAACAAAGCTCCTTAGCCTAATGATACAATCTCTTTTACATAATCAAGTACATCACAGATTTTTACATACTTTAAATCCGGGCACACAGACACATTCTTCTTTTATTCATGAATTCATTATTTTAAATTTTTCTGAAAATTATTCTGAAATATTTTTGTAAAAACTGATTTATTATTTTTTTAAAGGCCCTTTTGTATTTTAGGGCTGTACACTGAATTGTTTTTTGAATTTATTTCGTCCCCTAAGATTTTTATTTAAGCATACTATAGTCAAACCAAATTTTTGTGCTTTTTTTTAGTGGATATAGTTTATCATTTGTTTCGTCATTTGGGTTTATCAACATTATCTAGCACATGCAAAAATTTATTTGGTTAAAAATTAGAAAGTTGAACGGGCTTAAAGGGGCCGTTAATATATTTCTCTCGAATACATTTATCACAGATTAGGTTGTAAATTCAGGTAATGGGAAATTTAAGAAAAAGTGGTTTAAATTAGCAGTACAGGGAATTTTTAATGATAAATGTTAAATGAAGGTAATTCTTTAAATATATACTGTAATCTTGTTTGTCTATCTTAGATTATTTTATCAGTGGGATGTAACTCAGTTACTTTTTATTTTAGCACTGTTTTCTATGTGGTGAAATGATAATGTCATGGGTTCATTTAGGGTAAACTTATGACATCAGTGTATTTCAGGGCAGACATGTGAAAAGGCAACCCACAAAAATTTATTTTTTTTTGGTGTGTGCAGGAAAAAAATAGTAATTAAAAAATTATGCAGTGAAAATTTTTATGTAGATTGAAATTTATAATAATACATTTTAAATGCCTATAAAAGCTCAAAAAGTTATTACTCTTAATTGCTTAAGTTTGTTTCAAATAATTATTTATCACAATTTACTGATGGGCAAGACCTAATTTGCATTTTGCTACAACTTTCTAGTAGTATATGTTATAAATTAGAATATAAGGCATAAGATTTTGTGTCAAATTTTAGTACATTTTCATTTTTTTTTTAAACAGGCTTACACTTATGCCACAACTACTGTACTATAATTGTTATTTTGAGGGACCATTGTGTGAACAAATACTTTTTTTTTATTTTGTTGAATTATAAACTAATGTGTGGTACTTACATAAACGTTGTTATAATGAAATTTAAACATTTTCATGCTACATTGTTCATATTCTTTAGCAAACTGAGATCAATGAATGTTTTTTGCCTAGGGATGTGTGGACCTTTCCCAATATTTTAATTTTTAAATCATATATCAGTTTAATATGTATGTTCACAAATATACAGACATGCATAATTTGTCATTTTTAAATCATATATCAGTTTAATATGTATGTTCACAAATATACAAACATGCATAATTTGTCTTCAGGCAGTCTTGATAAGTGTTGAAGAAATTATCAGTGTCATACAAACATCCCCCAGTGTAATTGCCAAGTGCCACACATTCATGAAGTTCTAAATTATAAGCAGTATATTTTGCATTTAGTTTGTACATGCCAATAAATTTTAAAGGTTATTTGCATTTGATAACAGCTAGGCTTTGTATGAAGACTGTGCTAAGTGTTTTATTTTAAACAATAATATAATCAAATTAAGCACTAAACCCAAAAGGGTCATACAGCATTTTAGTTAAAAGCAGGCTTTAATTCTGGTGTTCATACTAGAAGACAACACCCATTAATCTCAACTGTGTTCTGCTTTCCTGGAATTGGTCTGTTTATTGGGTCCAAACAGATGAAAATTACATTCCAAAGATTTAAGCCTACCAGCTGCTCTTTTATGGCATTACATTTATCTAGCTTTTGTGATTCATTCATTATTTATGCACCCATATTTGCTAAGTTCCCACCTAGCCTTTTAAGTGCATTTATATTTTATCATGACATCACTTGAGTAATGTCACATGACTGCCTTATAACCAATGAGGAAATGTAAAATTGCATTGATAATAAAGATAAACTGGCCAAAATTTTAGTACTTTTTTTTATTCAAAACCTTTAACCCTTAAGCTGCCAATGACTTAAATTTATGCCAACTGCAAAAATTTCATCAAATTAAATTTATCCCAAAGTTTTAGCACTTGCAAAATGGTCCCAAATAGCCTGGTTAAGACTACAATGAAAACAGTTCTGCTGCACTGTATAAAAAAACAATTGTATTCAGGACATTGTGGAAGGCAGTCAATGCCATTTACATTTCTTTAATGTGACTGAACAATATAAGTGAATTATATAAAAAAAAAGTCCACGTGAAACGGGATCCTTAAAAAAATTTAGAAAAAAAAAAAAACTTTAAAAAGGTTGAAACACTTCCTTCGTGTGGCAAGCACTCACGGTGCCATAAACCGATCACCACCAAACCGTATCACCTTAGAATAAGTAATTAGATTATTACATCTGGTATGTTTTAAACCCTTCAGCAGCTTAAGGGTTAAAGTTGGCATTTATGATGATTACTTGAATTTTGATGTCTTGAATAATTAAAATGAGGTTGATTGGGTCATATTTGATCAAATTTTCTTCTTGTTACTGAAGGTGCTTTATGTTTAATATTTTAGACCTTAAGTATTGTTCTACTTCTTTCATTTTTCTCCTTTGTTTAGGAAGGTCTGGAAACAAAATTTGTCTAATTTTCACCAACACAAATTTACCGTATATGGCTCTTTGATTTGAACCTTCTTTGTTCACAAATGTGAGCTCTGGTGGTGTAAGATAATTAACAGTAACTTGGTCAGTTCTGTATACATTTCAGCATGCCTCTAAAACGACTGCCTCAAGCACGAGTAATGATACTTTACATAACAGTAAGGCCTCTTCATGCACATTTGGCATTTTTAAAAACAAAAACTATCTGCTGATTTAACATTATCCCATTTATGAATTACCATACGGTGTACTACCTGTGAATAAAATAGTTTGCGTTTAGAAAACATGAGGATGTCATGATGAGGTACAGATTCCATTTCACTTTTAACCGGATTATAGAAAGATAATTTATGTTTCATCTACTCTTATGTGCCTCTTGGTAACTAGATGGGCATGTTGGTTTTTTTCCAGTAATTTGATTAGTGTACACCTTATAGGGGCATATTGCTTGAAATAAACATGGCATTTAAAAAAAATCAAAACACACTATACAAATAGTGTGGGAATTTAAATGTCAATTATTGGCTAATTTTTATTATTATTATTATTATTATTATTAATTATTAGTAGTAGTACAGTTATATACTGTATCTTAAATGAATGAGTAATAATATTGTGGCAGATTCATTAGTCTGCAAATATTCAAAGAATTTTATGAGAAATAATGCTTTATATAAACAAACTATTTTACACAATTTTTATTTGTAATGGAGCTTAATTAGGGTATGCTTTCTGTACTGTGATTGCTATCCTTGCTGTACTGTACAAAGATTTTATTTTAATTTGAACCAAATAATTTCATAAATAAGATTATTAGTAAGCCATTTCTTTTAATAACCTATTTTGAATAAAATTTGTGTAGAGTTCATAACTGATTACAAGACAAGAAAAGCTTCCATAATTTGATGTTGAAGTGATTTGTGACAGTGTCTACACAGCTAAACAAATATGTAGGATGAGTAGAGCAAAGAGAACAGTAGCATACTATTAAAAAATATCTAGGTGTAATAATATATTGATTTTATGTGCTAAGTCCATATGGATACAAAGAAGAATTGTGACGATCAGAAAGAGTTTGTGGTGATCAGTCCCTTAGCCTGGAGTCAGTGTAATTAGTTCATAACTCTTGAAAAGAATACTGTACACTAACTGCCCCCTTCAAGGCAGGCAAAATTGCTGACCTGAAGAGTTTACAAAGAACTTTCTCAGCACAAAAGTACAATGAGGCACCTAAATTACTAGGAACGGTTGAAGGCCATTGATTTGTATTCCCTGGAATGCAGGCGAGATACATGATAATATACACTTAGAAAATCCTAGGAGATGCAACATTCCCCCAATGAAAAGCAGGGGTGCCACGAGTACACAGAGACAACACAGTAAGTGTCCAGGGCCCAAGACTGTTCAACTACCTCCCAGCATACACAAGGGGAATTACCAATAGACCCCTGGCTGTCTTCAAGAAGGCGCTGGACAGGCACCTAGTCAGTACATGACCAGCCGGCTGTGATTCGTATGACAGTTTGCATGCGGCCAGCAGTAACAACCTGGTTGATCAGACCCTGCTCTACCACAAGGCTTGGTCTCAGACAGAGCATGGGGGCATTGACTCCCAAAACCTTCTCCAGGTAAATTCCAGGTATGGTGTCTGACAGGAATGTAGAAAAATGGTTCAGAGAAACGACAGGTTGACAAGTTACACATTTGCCTGCTGGGCACATTGCAAGACGAGCACCATCCACCAGCTCCTTTGCATTACCCCCTTGTTCTGCTGATATTTAACGTTTTGGTGGGAAACTGGTTGCTAAAATAAGATGACAGTGTGGAAGTCCCGGTCGTCTGAGGCTTGGCAAGGAGACTGGGCTCTTCTGGCTCATTTGGGATCTTTTAGTTTCTGTTTCTATTTGCAAAGTGACCCCTGTCCTCTTTTCTTCATGGCTTGGCTTTGGATAATATGCTCAATAATAACCCACATGGAGACAGAAATGTATTGTACCAAACAATTCCACTGCCAAGTTTGTATCCAATAATTTGAGGCTGCAGTCGCGGTGACCCTTAACATATCCTTCCACCTGACAAGAACATTGGGTAGCTGTAAAGTTTAGTGTGCAAATTGATAGACTTACATCTTAAGGGCAATTTAGGCAGGTTTAAATTGATAATAAATATTAGAATTAATAATGTTATGTTAGATATTAATTCTTATGGGAAATATTA